ATGAGCATGGAAGAGTTTTCCATTTTTTGGTATCCACTTCTATTTCTTTCTTTAAGGTTTTCTAATTCTCATCGTAGAGATCTTTAATGTCGTTGGTTAAGTTGATTCCAAGGTATTTGATTGTTTTTGTAGCTTTTGTGAATGGGATTGATCTTAGCAGTTCTTTCTCAGCTGTGGCGTTGATTGTGTATACCAAGGCTGTTGATTTTTGTGCATTGTTTTTATATCCTTCCACTATGGCAAACTCCTCTATGAGTTCCAATAGTCTCTTAGTAGAGTTCTTTGGATCCCCGAAGTAAAGAATCATATCATCTGCAAAGAGGGATCGTTTGAGTTCTTCCTTCTCAATTTGTATTCCTTTAATTTCTTTTTCTTGCCTGATGGCTCTGGTTTAAACTTCCAGAACTATATTGAATAGCAGTGGTGAGAGTGGGCATCCCTGTCTGGTGCCAGATCTCAGTGGAAATGCTTCCAACTTTTCCCCATTCAATAGGATGCTGGCCGTGGTTTTTTCATAAATTGCTTTGATTATATTGAGGAATGCTCCTTGTATACCCAATTTGCTTAGAGTTTTCATCATGAAAGGGTGTTGAATTTTATCGAATGCTTTCTCTGCATCTATTGAGATAATCATATGGTTTTTCTTCTGCAGTCTGTTAATGTGGTATATCACATTGTTTGATTTGCGAATGTTGAACCATCCCTGCATACCAGGGATAAATCCCACTTGGTCTGGGTGGATGATCTTTCTGATGTGTTGTTGCATTCTATTGGCCAGAATTTTATTGAGGATTTTTGCGTCTGTGTTCATCAGGGATATTGGTCTGTAGTTCTCTTTCAGTGCTGTATCCTTCTCTGGCTTAGGGATTAAGGTGATGCTGGCTTCATCGAAAGAATTTGGGAGGATTCCCTCTTTTGATTGTTCTGAATAGTTTGAGAAGAATTGGAGTTAGTTCTTCTTTAAATGTCTGGTAGAATTGAGCAGTGAATCCATCTGGTCCTGGGCTTTTCTTTGTTGGGAGGGCCTTTACTACTGTTTCAATTTCTGTTTCAGTTATGGGTCTGTTTAGGTTTTCTATGTCTTCCTGGTTCAATTTCGGTAGATTGCATGCGTCCAGGAATCTCTCCATTTGTCATAGGTTTCCCTGTTTGCTGGCATACAAGTCCTTGTAGTAATTTCTGATGATTCTTTTCATTTCTGTGGTGTCTGTTGTTATGTTTCCGTTTTCATCTGTGATTTTATTGATTTGGTTCTTTTCTTTTTATAGTTAGTTGGGCCAATGGTGTGTCAATTTTGTTTATTTTTTCAAAAAACCAGTTCTTCGCTTGGCTGATTTTTTTGTAATTTTTTTTTGGATTCAATCCTGTTGATTTCTTCTGTGGTTTTAATTATTTCTCTTCTCCTACTAGATTTGGGTCCGCTTTGCTGCAGATATTCTAGGTCCTTGATATGCGCTGAAAGCTCATTTATTTGGTACCTTTCCAATTTCTTGATATAGGCCCCTGTTGCTATAAACTTGACTCTCAATACTGCTTTTGCAGTATCCCATAAGTTTTGATATGTTGTGTTGTTATCCTCATTTACTTCCAGAAAGTTTTTGATTTCTCTTTTGATTTCTTGAATGACCCAGTGTTCATTCAGCAGCGTGTTGTTCAATCTCCATGTGTTTGCATACTTTCTAGGGTTTCCTGAGTTGCTAATTTCCAGCTTCATTCCGCTGTGGTCTGAGAAGCTGCATGGTTTGATTCTAATTCTTTTAAATTTGCTGAGACTTGCTTTATGACCTAGTATGTGATCAATCTAGAGAAGGTTATATGCACTGCTAGAACAATGTAAAGTCTTTAGATGTAGGATTGAACGTTCTGTAGATATCTGTTAGATCCATTTGGGCAATAGTGTCGATTAAATCTGCTGTTTCCTTGTTGATCTTCTGTCTGGATGATCTGTCTGTTTCTGAGAGTGGAGTATTGAGGTCCCCCAGTACTATTGTATTGGAATCTAAATCTCCCTTTAAGTCCCTTAACATATCTTTTAAATAGACCGGTGCCCTGTAATTAGGTGCATATACATTTATAATAGTTACATCTTCCTGTTGAATTGAACCATTAATCATTATATAGTGCCCCTCTCTGTCTCTCTTAACAGTTTTTGTATTAAATTTTATTTTGTCTGATTTAAATATGGCTACACCTGCTTTTTTTAGTTTCTGTTGGCATGGAATATCTTTTTCCAACCTTTCACTTTCAGTGTGCATGCATCTTTGTTAGAGAGATGTGTTTCTTGTAGGCAGCAAATAGTTGGATTTTGTTCCTTAAGCCAATCAGCCAATCAGTGTCTTTTAACTGAATAGTTAATTCCATTAACGTTTCATGTGACTATTGATACATAGTGACTTTGCCCTGCCATTTTCCTGGAGATATTTTCTAGTATATGCTTTGAGCTTCCTATGCTCTTTTACTGGTAGGTGTTCTTCCTTTACCTTCTTTCATATTGATTGCCATGTTTCTGTGTTTCTGAGTGTGCCACATCTTTAAGCATCTTTTGCAGGGCCGGACGAGTGGAGGCAAACTCTTTCAATTTCTTTTTGCTATGAAAGGTCTTTATTTCACCTTCATTCACAAAAGAGAGCTTAGCAGGATATAATATTCTTTGCTGGAAGTTTTTCTCTCTTAGCACCTGTGCTATGTCTCGCCATTCCCTCCTAGCCTGTAGTGTTTCTGATGAGAAATCTGCTGTGAGTCTGATTGGAGATCCTAAGAGTAATCTGACATTTCTCTCTTGCACATTTTAGGATCTTTTCTTTCTGTTTCACTGTGGAGAGTTTAATTACAACGTGTTGTGGTGAGGATCTCTTTCATCATGTTTATTGGGAGTTCTATGAGCTTCCTGTACTAGGATGTCTCTGTCCTTCTCCAATCCTGGAAAGTTCTCTGCTAATATCTCACTAAAAAGGCCTTCTAATCCTTTCTCTCTCTCCATGCCTTCAGGAATTCCTAGAACTCGAATGTTGTTTTTTTTTTTTTTTTTAATAGTATCCTCTAGGTTCCCAACAATATTTTTTAGATTTCTAATTTCCTCTTCTTTTCTTTGGTTTGACTGTATGTTTTCCTGTGCTCTGTCTTCTAAGTCCGATATTCTCTCTTCTGTTTCACTGACTCTGTTTTTTAGACATTCTGATGTGTTTGTCATTTGGTCTTCATTTCATTTTGATTTCTCTTCACTATCATAGTTTCCTGTTCTACTAGTTTCTGCATTTCATTTTGATTCTTCCTTAAAATTTCATTTTCATGAGAGACATTTTCAATCCTGTCCAATAAGGATCTCTGTAGTTTAAGGATTTGCTTTTGAAAACTTCTAAATGATCTTATCATAATTTTTTTGAAATCCGTATCTTGCATTTCTTCTATTTCTTCATCTTCATAATCTTGGTTTGAGGTATTTTGTTTATTTGGAGGCGTCATAGTGTCATCGTTGATCTTGTTCCCTCGATTTTTGTGTTTGTTGCTTGTCATAGTTAATTCTTCTTCCCTCACTGTGAGGTTTTTTTTTTTTTTTACACTATGTCTGTGTTAAGTGGACTGTCTGTTGTTGGAAGAGCCTTGGAGGCTTGAGATGGGTGTGTCCTGAGAGCTCTGCTTGGTTCTTCCGGGGTACGGGTGTGCAAAGGTTACACCCTCAGGTTATGCGTGGTAAATATCTCTCTTATTATTTATTTATTTTATTTTATTTTATTTTTTTATTCAGGAGTTAAGTAATTCCGCATGGCTGAGCAGAAATGAGGGTATATTTAGCTTCCAATCTCTGGCTTCTACCCAAAGAGTCTGTGCGGGCTCAGTTTCTCCTGTGGACTCCCACGGGTTGCCTAGTCTACTGAATTGTAGCGCCTTAGTTCCTTAGCTCTCCCCTTTTGTTATGTATATCCAGAGCGGGGTCTGCTTTTTGTCTCTTGCTCGCCTTTGCAAGGTTGGTGGAGAGAGAAACTTGTCTGTACCAGTACCCCCCCACACCTATTTTTTTTTTCCTTCTCTCGTGTAGTCAATCTGGTGAACTTTCCCGCCTCAAGCCTGCTTCCCTCTAGATTCTGACCGCCGTTTCCCCTCCAATGTCTCGGGTTACTGATCTCACCTCCCCTTCCAGCGCCGATGTGTGGACTCGGAGCCCTGGGCGTCCCTGCTTTCCCCGCTGGTCGTCTGTGTCACATCCACTCCCCTTCCAGCAGTGGTGCGCACACCCTGCGGCTCCCGCGGCTTGGCTTCCGTGTGGTGGGCGACCTTGCTCTCCCCATAGGTCCTCCAAGTCACAACCACTAGATCCGGAAGAGTTTCCTCTGCAAAATTTTTTCCTGATCCTTTTTCTGAGGCTACCGTTAACTCCACTTTTATTAAACTAAATTTTCCCGGAGTATCGGTGTGCGCCCTTACTATTCCACCATCTTGGTTCCACTCCAGGTTTTGTCCTGTTTCTCCCATTTATTGAATATTTTTTTGAAGTGAAGTTGTTATTTTCTCCCATTTTGTTAATGAGGAGTAAACTGAGAGAATGACTGGGAAGGTCTTTCTAAATTTGACAATGCATGTGTTTGTATTTTATAATCAGATACTTTCCGACTGTTTGATTCTCTATTGAGAATATCAAAGCGGAAAAGAGACTTTGGGCCAAGGGTACTCTTTGGGCAAATCATTTCTTGTCAGTCAAAAATGTTCCCTTCTATCCCCTTCATAATAGGAACCATGCATACAAACATTTTCAAAACTCTGACCACACCTCTTTGAGAACTAATTCAGAGCTGTACTCCATGTGTGGTAATTGGCAATTAGAATGAAACCAAGGAAGTGACAATGAAAATTCAAGGTAGTTGTATCTCTGCTATTGAACAGTTGTCCTCAAGATAATGTCGTCTGTCTGCAATTTGACTTTCAGAAAAGTGAACAGAGCCTGTTGTTGGATACCAGCTCATCTTGCCTGGTTTTCTTATGAGTACATTTGTTCACTCTTACAGATGTGGCTGATTTCGTGGAGGCAGAACCTCTGGTCTCAATGATTGAAGGCTACGATGCTCGGCTCAAATGCAAAGCAGCTAAATATATCTATAATCAGCTTGCTTGGTTTAACCCCTTTGGGGAGAAGATTCCTGTTATAGATACTGAAAGCTTCAAAAATAACTACTCCATCTCACTGACACTGGTGATTAGGAATGTGACCAAGCAGGATAAAGGGCAGTACAAGTGCAAGGCTTGGGCCCAGAGGAACATCACCAAAATTGTGCAGCGCAATACTCGACTATTAATTAGAGGTAGAACTGAAGGGATTTTTCTCATCATCTCTTACAATTTGAGCCAACTTTGAGTGAGTTGTAGAGCTAAAATAAAGATTTTGCTTTTGTATTCCTTATAGACTGGGCCAGTCAATCCTTTGCTTCCTTGGGAACATTCCAAGGAAAATATCTTTGAAGAATATTAAACTCTGTGATAATAGATTTGTAGAAAACTTTGGGGATGGAGTTCTTTGTCCTGATACCAAAGCTATAAGGAACTTACTTCTATTGCTTGGGGTGGCTAAGGAAGGACTTTTTAAGTATAAGATTAAGGAATAACTTGAAGGACTTAATATATAACCCATCCTGCACCTTACCAACACAGTAGATGCTTTTTTCTGTTCATCCATCTTTGTTTTTCCTGTGTGTGGTAATATTTCCCTATGCAAATGTCTGGTTAAACATGAGAAGTGGGACAGATATTACATGTCATATTTGTGATGACCTGCCTAAGAATCTTGGTTTGATTTACCCTGGTTTCTACAGAAAGGATTGCTCCATTCATTATTGAGAATCTCACCAATATTGAAGTCAACAGCAGTGGCAAGATTGTCCTACATTGCAAAGTGGGTGGAATACCACACCCTCAGATTCACTGGTTGAAAGCTGGAGTTCCTCTTCTCCCTGCTTCAGGTGTGTTTGAAGATTTTTAAATAAGGAGTTATTAATTTATTTGAAAGGCAGAGAAGGAGGGAGGGAAGGAGGGAGGGAGGATGAGAGAGAAAGAGACTGAGATAGAGACTGAGAAAGAGAAAGAGAGAGATATTACATCCACTGGTTCACTTCCCAAATGGCTGCAAAGGCCAGGGGTAGGCCAGACCAGGCCAAAGCCAGAAGCTGGGAGCCAAGAGCCAGGAGCTTTATCCTGGTCTCCTTTGTGGGTGCTGAGGTCCAAGCACTTGGGCCATCTTCTGCTTCCCCAAGCACATTATCATGGAGCTGGATCAGATGTGGAGGAGCCAGAACACTGGTGCCCATATGGAATGCTGTTGATGCATGCAATGGCTTTATCCACTACGTCAAAATACCTGCCCTGAAGATTGTTTATTTAAGGTTTATTTATTTATTTGAAAGGCAGAGTGGCAAACAGAGCGAGATCTTCCATATATTGGTACATAGTCCCAATGGCTACAATGCCTGAGCCTGGTCCAGGCTGAAGCCAGGAGACAAGGGCCCAGACACTTGAGTCATCATTTGCTGCCTTCTTATGCACATTATCGGGGAGCTGGAAGAGAAGTGGGGCATCTAGGATTGAATCAGTACCCTGATACAGCATGCAAGTGTCACAAGCAGTGGCTTAACCCACTGAGCCACAACACTGGCCCCAAGTCTATAGATTTTGTATGGCTGTTTCTTTGTCTGAGGACTTAAAAAGAGGGCCTTAGTTGGTATAGCTCTTTAGGGTTGGCTTTATTTGTAAGCTATCCCTGGGCTTATTCAATGAAATGGGGGCTTCATATGTTCTGAGGCTGAACTTCAACTAAAATATCCCACATAATAATGGGTGGTGTCATTGTCAATGCAGGAATCTTCTTTGAGAACAATACCCTTGTTATTGAGAGAGCCAAGAAAGATGATGAGGGACTATATCTCTGCAAAGCTACCAATGAGTTGGGAGAAACCAGCACTTCAGCCCTTATCACCGTGGAGGGTAAGTTGGAAATTACTGGCTACATTGGTAATTAGTAATGGATTTTGATTATAATCAGAACTCAAAATTTAAAAAAAAGGAAAGGAGAAATGAAAAAGAAAAAAAGATGTTTGGCATTGTGGGTACACTGTGAGAGAACAGTGAAGATGGTAAACATGGGTACACACAAAGGCACTGTCTTTTATCCCTTGTGTGGCAGTGGACAACACATAGCCCTACTTTCTATGGGAGAGTATGTGGAGTAATATGCTTTGGAAAACTCAAGTTCAGAACATCATACTTGTGAACTTGATGGCATTTTGGGAAATTCATTAGGCATTTCTGGGTCTTATATTTCTCATATATGAAAGGAAAATAATGCCATCTACTCTGGCTATCTCTTACACGTGATACAAATGATGGCAATGATGTTGCAATGCTTTCCTAAATATAAATATAGAGCATTAGAACTTTAGAACTCTTTTATTGTAAAAAGCCCAAAGTGAGTAAAACACTTTTAGATATTTATAGAAATGTTTTTAACTCCAACTCTTGTGCTACTATGATGAGTATTTAACTGTTAAGGACAAAATTGCACGTGTTTAAAGAAATGTTACTGATTTGAGTAATCATGTTGGCATCCAAAAAGCTATTTTCCCATCCATCTATGATATTCCAAGGCATAGCAAACAAACAATATAATCTGGTTTAACAATCAGGTCTCTCAGTTGTTTGAGATGATGTACAGATGTATTCACCAGAAGAAATGCGAAATTAATGTTAATACAGATGATTAAAATTAAAAATATGCCATATAATGTGTTAATTACTTCCTATGGTCGCATTTAACCCTCTTTACAACTCTTTGTGGTAGATATTTTATTATTCACATTTTAGATGGGGAAATTGAGCCACAGAGAGATTAATGACTTTCCCAAGGTCACTCAAATGGTTAATGGTAGTATTTGAATTCAGGTAGTGTAAGGTTCTAGCCCACACAAATCATGGAGTTGTCCTTGAGAACTATCTAATGAAGCAGAGAATAACTGTAAATGTCTAATTTTTGCTTTCTTTCTTAAATAGTTCAAACACAAATAGACATATCCATATATAATGTAAGTCTTCAGCTTATTCTTTTTTTAAATATTTATTTATTCATTTGAAAGTCAGAGTTACACAGAGAGAAAAGGAGGCCGAGAGAGAGGTCTTCCATTCGCTCGTTCACTCCCAAATGGCAGAAACGGCCAGAGCTGGGCCGATCCAAAACCAGGAGCCAGGAACTTCTTCCAGGTCTCCCACGTGGGTGCAGGGGCCCAAGAACTTGGGTCATCTTCCACTGATTTCCCAGGCCATAGCAGAGAGCTGGATCAGAAGTGGAGCAGCACGGACCCGAACTGGCACCCATATGGGATACCGGTACTGCAGGTGGCGGTTTCACCAGCTACACCACAGCGCCGTCCCCAAGCTTATTCTTTTGAGACATCTAGTTCAATTATCTAGGGATCCTTTTCTCTAACCCACACTCCATAGAAATTTCGTACACACACACACAGCCAGAAAGATGTAGCTTGAAGATGTTAGTCCTTTAGAAACAACAAGGAATTTGTAAAACATATTAAATTTCTCAGGCTTCCTTTCTTTGCATTGAACTAATTTTTCATTTAGTTAGTTCAGTATTCAACTCTTTTGTAGGCTCTGAAGAGAAATCCAACATTGAAGTCATCATTATTGTTTGCACTGGCCTTGCAGCTACGCTTTTCTGGCTTCTTCTAACCCTAGTAATTCGAAAACTCCGAAAGGTAAGGAGAGAAGTTACCTTAGAGCCTTATGGATCACTCATGTGCGGTTTAGACAGCTTTGAGGCTAAAATTGGTATCTTTTGTCTCAATCTCTTGCGAGATGGTACTGATTATCTAGGCAACAAAGTGTGTACAAGCTGTCTCTCTTGCTCTCTGTCTCCCTCTTTCTGTCTCTCTCTCTCTCTGTGACTAAAATGTTCAGGAGTTTTTACTGTGTGCCACCTAAAATATTGGGAGCTAATACAGGAACATGTTTGTCCCCTCAGATTTTATCTCCTACTTTTATTTAGTGCAACTAATACTGTCAAGTATCACTGTTAGGTAACTGTAATGTAATAGCTATGTGAATGCTTAATATTCATAATTAAAATTATATAGCTATTTAAGTGCCATAACTGCTAATATGATTTAATTTACTTTAAAAATATTTGTTTATGTATCAGTAATTCTATATTGTCAAGACTGAACTGTTAGGAAAATTTATCAACTTCAGCATGACCTCTGTTTGCTGAGCAGTGCTGCAGGTCCGTGGTGAGAAGAGATCAAGCCTGATGTTCCTACTGAAATATGTCAACTAGACTCCTGGACTGAGTTGATAGATAGCTGTGGTACATATTCCAGGGCTGTCATGGGACTCAAAAATGTCCTGGTAGTTTAGCTACTAGGGACAGATTTATTAAAATTAGTTATTCCTAACTGCATGTGATGCACTGATACTTTTATTCCATTTAAAAAGTGCTGGTTATCAGTTTTTCTATTTTGCAATCAACTGATTTAACTCATAGTTTGAAAAGCACTGCAGTAAATGTTTCTAAAAGTCCTTTCAACTAGTTATGAAGTCCTAGAATTCCATTTTCAGTTTTACCAGCACCGTTAATTAAAGATACTATTCTTTTTTTTAATTTCTTTTTTTTTATTTTTGCATTTTTTAACTTTTATTTAATGAATATAAATTAAGATACTATTCTTTCTTCAATGAGTGGTCTATGCTGTTCTATGTAAAACCAGATTTCTGTCTATATGTAAATTAATTTCTGGGCTCTCTACTCTGTTTCATTGATCTTTGTGCTGGTTTTTATGCCAGTATCATGCTGTTTCCATTACTATTATAATATGCCTTGAAGTCAGGTATTATGATGCCTCCTGCTTGATTTTTTTTAACCTCAGGATCACTTTCACTATTCTGGGTCATTTGTGTGAAGTCCAGGACTTCTGGTGTAGTGATCCAGAGATCCAGTCTGCTTTGCAGACCTGGGGTTTGGGGCCATGCCAGTTTGTCTGGTCCTGGAGTTTACTTGGGAAAGCTGTCTGAGACTTAGCTTGTTATCTCAAAGTTGAGTGCTCACTTCCCTCTGCTTCTGCCATGCTCAGGGTATCTACACTGGGTTCTAGACCAGAACAGTGGTATACTTGGGGGTTAGGGTGGGATGATGACATTAATGTAAAACTGTCATTCCTATACTCTTCAATATGTGTTTTTCATTTCTGTGCTGGGCTACAGTTCATATATTCTCACATCTGGTTTTCTTAGCTCATGCAAAGGCCTTTGTTTACATTTAAAGTTGTTTAAATTGATAATTCTACCAGCTATGAGGAATCTTAGTTTCTAATCTGGCTGTTGTTGTCTCCTTGAGGCAAGTCCGATTGAGCATGTCCCAAATTGTACATCTCCTCCCTCTCTAATTCCCACTCTTATATTTAACAGGGATCACTTTTCAGTTAAAATTTAAACACCAAAGAATAATTATGTGTTAATTACAGGGTTCAACCAATAGTGCTAGAACAAAAAAAATACTAAAAGGGATAAAGTATTATATTGTACATCAACAGTCAGGAGAAGGGCTGTTCAAGTCACTGTTTCTAATAGTGTCCATTTCACTTCAACAGGTTTCCCCTTTGCTGCTCAGTTAGTTGTCGCTGATCAGGGAGAACATATGATATTTGTCCCTTTGGGACTCGCTTAATTCACTCAGCATAATGTTTTCCAGGTTCCTCCATCTTGTTACAAATGACCGGGTTTCATTGTTTTTGACTGCTGTATAGTATTCTATAGAGTACATGTCCCATAATTTCTTTATCCAGCCTACTGGTGATGGGCATTTGGGTTGGTTCCAGGTCTTAGCTATTGTGAATTGAGCTGCAATAAACATTAATGTGCAGACAACATTTTTGTTTGCCAATTTCATTTCCTTTGGGTAAATTCCAAGGAGTGGGATAGCTGGGTTGTATGGTAGGGTTATATTCAGGTTTCTGAGGCATCTCCAGACTGACTTCCATAGTGGCTTAACCAGTTTGCATTCCCACCAACAGTGGGTTAGTGTCCCTTTTTCCCCACATCCTCGTCAGCATCTACTGTTGGTAGATTTCTGAATGTGAGCCATTCTAACGGGGGTGAGGTGAATCCTCATTGTGGTTTTGATTTGCATTTCCTGATTGCTAGTGATCTTGAACATTTTTCATGTGTCTGTTGGCCATTTGGATTTCCTCTTTTGAAAAATGTCTATTGAGGTCCTTGGCCCATCTCTTAAGTGGGTTGTTTGTTTGGATGTTGTGGAGTTTCTTGATCTCTTTGTGAATTCTGGTTATTAATCCTTTATCTGTTGCATAGTTTGCAAATATTTTTTCCCGTTCTGTTGGTTGCCTCTTCACTTTCCTGACTGTTTCTTTTGAAGTACAGAAACTTCTCAATTCGATGCAATCCCAATAGTTGATTTTGGCTTTGACTGCCTGTGCTTCAGGGGTCTTTTCCAAGAAGTCTTTGCCGGTACCTATATCTTGCAGATTTTCTCCAATGTTCTCTAGTAATTTGATGGTGTCGGGTCATAGATTTAAGCCTTTAATCCACGTTGAGTGAATTTTTGTGTAAGGTGAAAGGTAGGGGTCTTGCTTCATGCATCTGCACGTGGAAATCCAATTTTCCCAGCACCATTTATTGAATAGACTGTCCTTACTCCTGGGATTGGTTTTGGATCCTTGATCAAATATAAGTTGGCTGTAGATGTTTGGATTGATTTCTGGTGTTTCAATTCTGTTCCATTGGTCTATCCATCTGTTTCTATACCAGTACCATGCTGTTTTGATAACAACTGCCCTGTAGTATGTCCTGAAATCTGGTATTGTGATGCCTCCGGCTTTGTTTTTGTTGTACAAGATTGCTTTAGCTATTCGAGGTCTCCTGTGTTTCCATATGAATTTCAGCACCATTTTTTCCAGATCTGAGAAGAAGGTCTTCAGTATTTTGATTGGTATTGCATTGAATCTATAAATTGCTTTTGGGAGAATGGACATTTTGATGATATTGATTCTTCCAATCCATGAGCATGGAAGATTTTTCCATTTTTTTGGTATCCTCTTCTATTTGTTTCTTTAAGGTTTTGTAATTTTCATCATAGAGATCTTTAACGTCGTTGGTTAAGTTTATTCCAAGGTATTTGATTGTTTTTGTAGCTTTTGTGAATGGGATTGATCTTAGAAGTTCTTTCTCAGCCATGGCATTTCTTGTGTATACAAAGGCTGTTAATTTTTGTGCATTGATTTTATATCCTACTACTGTGCCAAACTCTTCTATGAGTTCCAATAGTCTCTTAGTAGAGTTCTTTGGATCCCCGAAGTAAAGAATCATATCATCTGCAAAGAGGGATCGTTTGAGTTCTTCCTTCCCAATTTGTATTCCTTTAATTTCTTTTTCTTGCCTAATATCTCTGGCTAGAACTTCCAGAACTATATTGAATAGCAGTGGTGAGAGTGGGCATCCCTGTCTGGTAGCAGATCTCAGTGGAAATGCTTCCAACTTTTCCCCTTTCAAAAGGATGTTGGCCATAGGTTTTTCATAAATTGCTTTGATTTTTTTGAGGAATGTTCCTTCCATACTCAGTTTGCTTAGAGTTTTCATCATGAAAGGGTGTTGTATTTTATCAAATGCTTTCTCTGTGTCTATTGAGATAATCATATGGTTTTTCTTCTGCAGTGTGTTAATGTGGTGTATCACATTGATTGTTTTGCACACATTGAACCATCCCTGCATACCAGGGATAAATCTCACTTGGTCTGGGTGGATGATCTTTCTGATGTGTTGTTGCATTCTAATGGCCAGAATTTTATTGAGGATTTTTGCGTCTGTGTTCATCAGGGATATTGGTCTGTAGTTCTCTTTCAGTGCTGTATCCTTCTCTGGCTTAGGAATTAAGGTGATGCTGGCTTCATAGAAAGAATTTGGGAGGATTCCCTCTTCTTCGATTGTTCTGAATAGTTTGAGAAGAATTGGAGTTAGTTCTTCTTTAAATGTCTGGTAGAATTGAGCAGTGAATCCATCTGGTCCTGGGCTTTTCTTTGTTGGGAGGGCCTTTATTACTGTTTCAATTTCTGTTTCAGTTATGGGTCTGTTTAGGTTTTCTATGTCTTCCTGGTTCAATTTCGGTAGATTGCATGCGTCCAGGAATCTCTCCATTTGTCATAGGTTTCCCTGTTTGCTGGCATACAAGTCCTTGTAGTAATTTCTGATGATTCTTTTCATTTCTGTGGTGTCTGTTGTTATGTTTCCTTTTTCATCTCTGAAATTATTGATTTGGGTCTTTTCTCTTCTTTTTTTAGTCAGCTGAGCCAATGGGGTGTCAAATTTGTTTATTTTTTCAAAAAACCATCTCTTTGCTTGGCTGATTTTTTTAATTTTTTTTATTCAATCCTGTTGATTTCTTCTGTGGTTTTAATTATTTCTCTTCTCCTACTAGATTTGGGTCTGGTTTGCTGCAGATTTTCTAGATCCTTGAGATGAATTGAAAGCACATCTATTTGGAACCCTTCCAATTTCTTGATGTGGGCACCTGTTGATATAAACTTTCCTCTTAATACTGCTTTTGCTGTATCCCATAAGTTTTTGTATGTGTTGCTTTTATCCTAATTTACTTCCAGAAAATTTTTGATTTCTCTTTTAATTTCTTCTATGACCATTGTTCATTCAGGAGCATGTTGTTCAATCTCCATGTGTTTGGATATACTCTAGG